TTCTTATTAAAAAGGCTACGTATTTAATAAGCCTAATGTTAACACATCGTTAATTCGGTCATTTTTATAGAAATCTCGTTTTCAGGATTAAAATGTAATATATAACGTTGTGTGTGAGTATACTACATAATATCTATAATTGTGTGCCTTAAAACTAGTATCAGTCAGTCCGCCGATTGTGACCGAATAAAGGTGATAAATTGGATCTGCATGGATATTATACGACCCCAAACTGAATTCATTAAGGTGACAAGTAATATCTTTACCTATAGCCATTTCGAAAGCTACGGTATTAGCTCTAATTATAGGCGACACAGTTCCGCTTCTTGGTGATTTTTCAGTGCTCTCATATGCAAAGAGGATCCGCTATATCAATCGAATCTTGGTTATCATGGCTCATGTGCATTAGAACAATCACTTTATCCAATAAACCGTAACTGTATAATTAACTATTAGTGCCATAAAGAGATTAGCACGCTCACCATCAATGCGTTTTTGCCACTAGAAGGCAGTTGATGGAGCGGACCTGGCTCTGCATCATACCAGGAAAAAGGTAGTGTTTATTCCTAAAATGCGCTCGAAGGTTTACCAGCCGCGATATAATCGCTTGACGTGCATTAACACACGAGTCCAGCGAAAGTAAACGAACTACCTTAACCGACTTTCCCTTTCTGATAAACCTCTCAGGCAGCAGCTACCCTGTCAGCGGGGGTCTGTAGCGTTTACTGACTGCACCGTCTGGTATGGGAGGAGAAATCTGCAGTAAGCTAGAAGCCGTTCAACGGGAACCTCAAAGAGGCTTGTGGAAATTAATGCAGAACGCATGCTATATGTGGTGACTAACATTGCAAATACGAGAGAGGCGTTCTACTGGTTTTAAGGCTAACGAAAGCGTACGCCTGCTGCGTAAAGCAGCGTGAATCCTAAAAGTTCTTTTTACAGGAAGGGCCCTAGACCTCATGCGAGAACGTTTTGAGGTTACTAGACGTAATCCTTCGCGGGAAACCAACTTGCGCGTGCGATTATCAAACCACTGGCGTTCATTGTTTGCGATGCAGATTGCCTAATTGGGGCAATCCTGGATCCTAGGTTGATCAAGAAATAAGACCCGCATTTTTTTCATATATTCCTATTATCCTTCTGTTCTCTTTTGCTCATATAATTTTACTTGACAACCTAAGGTAGCTTCTGTCTCCTCTACAAGCATCACTGTTCAGTAGTCAACGAGGGTAGCTGAAAACGGTTCTGTCGCGTTGGTATGACACATTTGCTCCTTTCCTAAATCCACAAGGAAATACTATAACACCTCACTGACAATGCCAGTCATAATACTATTAAATTTATTGAAAAAGCGCCGAGAAGACAGCCAACGATTGAACGAGCCTACAGCAGGATCTGCTTAGGCGCTCGTAGGATGCACCATAAGCAGCTCACTTATTTGGAGTATATTGGAACGTCTGCGAGAGAATCCTTAATGATTTCGATCGAATAGTTTTGCTTGATTCGGCCAATAAGTGTATAGGAAGCAAAAACACAAGCAAATCAATAGAAAGAGCAATTAGTGCTTGTAAGAGGCATTTTCATTGAGATAGCCAGACTCAACAATTGCATTACCAGTTAACACATAACAGCCATGCTTAAATTCAGAGACATTTTGATTTGGAGAATCAGTTTCAAAATCGGGCGCCTTGTATTTAGCTCTGGCTTGCGCTTTTGTCTTTTTTACGTAT